CACAATTAACACACTTGACTTAATGAACATATATAGAACATAGCACCCAATAACTGATATATACTATTTTTAGGCATAGATACAACATTTATTGAAACAGAGCACGTGTTAGACCACAAAACAAATCTCAACGAACTTTAGAATGCTACAATTTTATAGACTACATTTTTTTTTTGGCCAAATGCAATTAAGTCTGAAATCATTAACAAAGACAATCAGAAAAACTTTCGATCTGGAAATTCAGAAACACGTCTCAGTAACTCATAGATCAAGCAAAAATCACAAGGAAAATTCAAAGATATTCAGAAATAAATGATAATAAAAATATCATTCATCAAAAAGCATAAGATGCAGCTGAAGCAGATTGGAATTTGTAGCTTTAAATACATACAATAAGAAAGAAAGGTAACAATTAATGAAATAAGCATTGAAGTTAAAATGTCAGAAAAAGCACAGCCAAAATTTTTTTTTTAAAGTAGAATGAAGAAAATAGTAAAAAATGATCAGAAACGAATGAAACATAAATGAGAGGATCAATAAGCCAAAAAATGGTTCTTGGCAAGGCCTAATTAAATTGACAAACCTCTCACAAGATTACTGTGGGAAAAAAAAAAGGGTACAAATAAGCAATATTGAGAATGAAAATGAGACATTATAGATGCTATAGAAATTTAAAAGGTAAATAGAAGATATTATGAACAACCTGATATCAATTAGCTTGAAAATTTAGATGAAACAAATGAATTCCTTGAAGAATTTACCTTACCAAAATTAAATCAAGAAGAAATAAAACTTGAGTACTTCTTGAACTATTAAAGAAATTTAATGAATGAATTTTAAAAAAAGAAAAGATCGAAAAGGCTGGGCCCAGTAGCTTACACCTATAATCCCAGTACTTTGGGATGCCAAGGCAGGTCACTTGAGTCCAGGAGTTCAAGTGCAGTCTTGGCAATATAGTGAGATCCTGTCTCTCTCTATATATATACATACATACAGACACACACACATTAAAAACAGAAAATCTCCCATCAAGGAAAGCTCCAGGTCCAGAAAGTACCTGTGAGTTTCACCAATTATTGAGAAAACAAACATCAGTCTCTCATACTAAGGTCTCTCATACCTGCCACATTACAGGTGCTCAAATATATGTTAGTTTTCTTCCCCTTTCTCCTATCCCCAGAGGCAAACAACTGGAAAATCATGCCAGAAAAGAGTATTCAACACTGCATGGTAAACTAGACAAAATGATCCTTTTTAACTTCTATGATTTACTGGAAGCATACAATATTAGAAATTGGTCAACCACAGACTTATAACCACAGTAAGAGTGGTTTTCACCATATACACACACATATGTACTTACCCATATATATCTCATTTAAAATTCAACAAGTAGGGTCTTGCATCTTCAGAAACAGTATAATTCCTTTTAATTTATGCTTGCCTCCTTTTCTTCTTAACTAAATCTCAAATTCTGAAGCTTTATCATTTAAAATTCTTCACCAGTGATAATTCCTTACTAGAGAGAAAATGGTTTACCTGTTTGTGGAACTACTAAGAAATTAAATTAATTACTCAAACTTGAAGACTGTGTATTTTCAGAAAAAGAATTCTTGCAGCTATAACAATTTTCATCTTCCAAGAGATGTAATTCCACATCCCATCTCTCAGATGAAAGGTGTCAAGTTCTCCAAGCCTCCCTCAATCCAATTCTGAAAATGAAACGCTGACACTATTTGGAAAAACAAAACTGCTTTTATCAATTGTCAGAACAGGTTACAACATTAATTTCTTTGCTTTTGTGACAAGCAATTTTTGCTAAGAAGCCAAGAGAAGAGGTTGTTATAAGAGGCAGCTGTTTGGGTGAAATAAACATTCTGGAGCCATCCTCACCTTAACAATAGTCACATCCATGCCGGATAAATGTAAAATCGGGGCAGCATTTTTTTCAAATAGAGACCTGGCTTTGCTGTAAACAAAGGAAAAAATACAAACATTTTAACACAGGTTATCAAGAGGAAGAACAAAAAGCCTTACAACCTTCTTTAGGGCACAGTAATAAAGACCACAAAATACAGGTTTCCTTTATTTGTTCAAGTACAGAAAGTTTAACAAGTTATGAGTTACTACGAATGGAAGAATAGAACCTTTCACCCTGGGGCCTCTGAGAATTTGCTGTTTATCTAATGCAATAAGCTTTTATCCATTTGGGATGCTTATAGTCCACACTGTAGTTCCTCTAGGGGAAGAACAGACACTAGGTATGGTTCCATTCAGGCAACAACGCTTGATTCACTCAAGTATTCATTGATCACCTACTGTTTGATAGACATAGGTGGAGGAGCTAGGAATACAACATGACCAAGCAGACAAAACTACTAATTCAACAGAAGCTTGTCTGAAACTCCCAGGCACAGTCCTGCCCTTTCTGTGCTCCCCTAGTACCTTATAGACAACTCTCTTAGTGACTTTAACACTGTATGGTGATTAGAGACTTCCAAGACTGTTGTCAGCACTAGACTGGAAGCTTTGCAAAAATAAATACCAAATCTTATTAATCCTTGAATCCCCTGACCTCTAGGGTTGTGTATGGCATACTTAGAAAGTACTTACTAAGTATCTGATTAACCAATGCATAAACGAATGAATAAACCTGCCCCAAATATAGACATGTAAATTCTGAGGAAAAGGAAACAACATGGATGTCTTACAATAAGAGAAAAAACAGCCTTCAAAGAGTTTGCATATTTCAAAAGTATTATGCATATCATTCTGACATTGAACTCTTATCCAATTCAGGTCAGAATTCAAAAACACAGCCTAGGAATCCAGGGATGCAGAAGTTGCAAAACAATCTCTCTCACCAATGGCATAGTCTCAAAGTCAAACTAACGTTAAAACATAACAAATAGCTGACNATCAACTATTACGTAAGGAAAAAAAAATCTAGTACTTTCAATCAATGTCAAACACCTAACTTTTATATCCACAGTTACTCAGTCCTCTTTCTAAAAAAGATACTATTTTTAAACTAAAGATGTATCCTTTGACCTTAAGGATGCTTTATACAAAACTTTAAGGATATTTTATATAAGAGACATTTTATATTAAGCTACAAAGGCAGCTAATGAGGGGCATGTATAGTTATGCACAGGCCAAACTCAATATTCTTTAAACTAAAAAGAACCACCAAATGGTATATAGAACACAAAACATTTCTTATTTTGAATTAAAATAGAAGTTGAGAGGCTTGCACAAATTTTCACAAGAACCATCCAAAAGAATATTTCAAATGGGCCAGGAGCAGTGGCTCACGCCTGTAATCCCAGCACTTTGGGAGGCTTAGGTCAGGAGATCAAGACCATACTGGCTAACATAGTGAAACCCTGTCTCCACTAAAAATACAAAAAATTAGCCAGGCGTGGTAGTACATGCCTGTAGTCTCAGCTACTTGGGTGGCTGAGGCAGGAGAATCGCTTGAACCCAAGAGGCGAAGGTTGCAGTGAGCCGAGATCACACTGCTGCACTCCAGCTTGGGCAACAGTGCGAGACTCCAAAAACCTCTCTGAGCGTATAATAAGCAAATTATATATATATTCTACCTGTCTACTGCTCTGAATGATTATTAGAACGAACATAAAATGGTGAATGAAAATTTCTCCTTTCCAGCTCACCATTTCTGGAGTTAACCCAACATTAAAGGGCTGAGCTAGTGATACTGCAAACAGTTCTCCTTCCAGGGTTGCTTTCATTACTAGATTGATATGAAAGGATCAGTTGGAAGTGGATCAGATCTATTTCCTAAAAGCAAAATTATGAAGAAGTCTCAATCTACCATATAAATCACAAATCTGTGACCTCTGCTGAGTTAGTTTAAGAAATCAGGTTAGAACATTTGGGTCTTTATTCACATCTTTGTATGATGTTCTAAGTTCAGAAAACCTCTAAAATAAAGGTGAAGACTTTTTTCCTTCTAATGTTCTATAAAAAAGATTGAAATGCAAGTGTTACTAGTAAGAAATACATTATTTATTATATAATTAAGGGCGAGATAGCACCAAGGCTAAATAAAAACCTTAGGTACTTACAGCAACTTCCAGGCTCAGGCACACACAAAAAATAATTACTCTTTTATGTATTATTTATTAATGCTAAACACACAGTTATCTTATTTCTTAAAGCTCTTATATAGTTTTAAACAAGTACTACATAATGAAATAGCTACATGATAAATTATAAATTATGTGTCAGGGCAGAGCCATGATGACAAAAATAGTGCAATTAAATAGTGAAAGCTTTAAAAACAAAAAAAAAAGGGATGCCAGGCTTTCCTAGAAGCACGCAGGGATTCACCTTGTTAAAGGGGACAACGCCTTAAGAAAAGACTTTCCTTCAATGGCAGTATTTTAGCTTACCTTTATATAAAGGTATTATAGTTCTACACAAGAATCTACTTTTAAAAATGCAAATACATTTACATGTAAAAAGAACCTAAAATTGCTTGGAAAAATTTGCTTATTAATTTTAAAAATGTAGATACTTCTTAGAAGCAGGAATTCAAAATAACTGGTTATTGCTTAAACAAATTGGCATAAGTTTCATCAGAAATTAGCAAGTTGTTAATTTATTAGGTCTCTAAAACTAGCCCATGGTAAAGAGTAACAATTGAGCAGTTTATGAAATGGATAGTGCCTAATAAGCATTATCTCATTTAATTCCAAAGTTCCCTATTCCACATAATCATTTTTAAAGTATGTACTTTTGACTTTCTGATTTTACAGATGAGTAAATTGGGGGTTTCAGAAGTAAATTAACTCCCACAATATAACAGGGCCAGTAAGCAGCAACACAGTAAACAGACCAGGTTCCTCAAACTCCCATACCCATGATGAGTTCTCTGTTATCTTCAGCCACAGGCCACCATTGACAATTTAATTATCTTGGGTATTTTGACTGTGTTATATTAGGACTTGTTGATTTGTTGGTATGATTTAGTATTGATATTAAACAAAAATGATCAATAGGCATTATCACTGATATATTTATGGGGGAGGGAAGCCGCTCTAACAAAACCCAGTAGATATGATTCGGTTAGGCAGAATAGTCTGTTTAGACAATCCGAATTAAACAGCTGAATTACAAAGAAATAAAGCAGGATGTGTCCTCCTGTCTATGAAGTCACACACACTGCCTCCCAAGAAATGAACAGAAAAACTGACGTCAGATACCCTGTGTTTTACTCAACAATATTATGCTTATCACTTATAATCCAGCCCAAAGCTTCTTGTTGTTGTTCTTATTACCTTAATGTCATTTGACTTCGATCTTATAGAATCCAATTTAGTACATATTTACTAATTTCCTTTTTTTTTTTGGAGACAGGGTCTCACTCTATCACCCAGGCTAGACTGCAGTTGTGCAATCATGGCTCACTGCAGCCTCGACCTCCCAGGCTTAGGTGATCTTCCTACCTCAACCTCCCTAATAGCTACAAATACAGGTAAATGCTACAACATCTGGCTAATTTTTGAATTTTTTCCAGCTAATTTTTGTAGAGACAGAGTTTCACCACGTTACCCAGGCTGGTCTCAAACTCCTGGGCTCAAGTGATCTGTCCACCTCGGGCTCCCAAAGCGCTGTGATTATATGCATGAGCCACTGCACCGAAATTACTAATTTTCTGATTCCCAAAAAGCAAAAAAGAATTGTTCTGGACATTAGGGACATTAAAAGATATTATTTTTTAACACTAAATCCTTTAATTCTATTTTTTCAAAATAAATTTTTAATTATTTATTCTAAAGCCATCAAGGTATTCGTATTCACGTTTCCAACTGAATGACAGTTGCATCTAACATTGTAAAAAAAAATGTTTTGCCTATTTATTTTTTCTTAACAGACTTTGAGTCCCCACACACCCACTCCCCACCCCTGCATATAGCCTCCCCGCCTTTTAGTGTGGTTCATTCATATAATCAACGAACTGCCATGATCAAATCATCATATACCCACTCTCAACTATTCTTTACACCTTAATTCCCACAATTTCCTCACCTGACCTTCCCAGGCCAGCCAGACCAGTTAAAGACTGTCCTGTGTCATAACAAAGCCATAACTAGGTCACTCCTGTCTCCAGGCCCCTGCCCCATGGACCATTTCCTCGGTTGAGAATGAGTGGCCTTCTCCTGCCTGCTTCCTCTCAGGCCTAGCTCAAGGATCATCCCTTCTGGAAAGAACGTTTCTGATCTCCCAAGCCCGCAGTATTCTTGGCCATCTCTGAACATCCTGTGGACAAAGATGGCCTAATGATTTACACCCTAGCAGTATAGCAGTCACTCCCAGGGGGGCTACTTCCAAGCAAATAAGACATCTTTGTAGGTGTTAATCCTGGAATGATTATTAAGCTTCAATTAGACAAGTTTGCTAAGCATCCATTAGCTTTATAGTTATTTCTCATTTAACTGTTATTTCTACATTACAAACGAATCCTATTGCTAGAAGAGTACTAAACCTAGCTCTTCCAATTCCACATAATCTCACTAGCTGCCTGATAGTCTGTGATGTCTTTCCCCCTTTGAAAAACCAAGTATCTAACAAGTCACAAACGGAACTACCCTTTGCAAGCTGCAGGATTGAGAAAAACAGTTGCTTTCTTCACTTGTGCATTGGGAGGAATGAGCTGATTGCCAAACACCTAAAAAAGAAAAAAGCAAAGTTTTCAGTAAAAGTTCAGTAATTTTAATGTCACATGTATTCTTTCATTCCAAAAAAATTTACTTACAGCACATATGGTATCTTCCCTTGGGGGAAAAATGTTCTTTCATGATCTCATATTAACAAAAACACTATCAACGACAACAAAAAAGTAGCATTATTTAATGACAATAAGCTCTATTTTGTATTGGAATAAAAAATCCTGCTTTATCTACTAGAAGCAAATATTTATTTTCTGTATAAGATATGGCTAGGTTTATTATAAACATATAATTAGTAAGGCCATTGTCTGTCAGGAGAGAAGCTTAATTTTCGTGTCTTTAGTTTTCAGAGTACAATATTCTCTCCAACTCATCACTAAAACTTGTTCATGAGGAATCTTTGTGTTACCAGTTAATCGTCATGTATTTATACACATACAAAATAAACCTAACACTCTATTTGCCTTCTCTTCTTTGCAACCCTGTATGATAACTGAATAGCAGCAACTGGCAGGGGAAAAGAAATGTAACTAATATATACCAAGCACCTTTTATTTGACATTTTTTACACACATTATTCTTAGTGCTCAGAAACCAAGGTGGTATGAAATAATCTTAGTTTTCCAGATTAGAACGTCCAGAATCAGGAAGATTAAGTTCCTGAAAGTTACAGAGTTGATAAATTACAAGCCTGGAATATACATCTTCTAATTCCAAAGCCAAAACTTTTACTCTCTAAGCTCTAAAGAGAGGATCAAGGATGAGAATTAAGAGGCAGAGGACTAGATGTGAGAAGTCCAAATGAGAAATGAATGGGAACTCTTGTTACTATGTCTGAATTGGAAACGATGGTCAACAAAAAGAATAAGAGCCAGG